AGGTCAACAATGCTTTCCGAGGGGTGAAAATATGCAATATCGCCCTCTCATGAATGTGATATTTATTTTATTATACCGAGTGTCATGTTTAGGTGTTTCACCACTTCACCATTTTTAAAGGTCGACAAACGTTTCAGAAAAGTTTTCACATGGATGAACCAGGGCCCATACATTTGGCGCATGTAACATTTTTTAGGAATAACACCCTGGCACTGGGACGAACCGTGCACGCATACGTTTGGCGCATGTGATATTTTTTGGAATAACACCCTGTCTTCTTTATCTTTGTAAAACGAGCAAGTAACATTGAAAATGTTCACATCTTTCTCAACCAATCAGATTACGAGATTTTAACAGAAGGTATAATAATATATATGATGTCATCATTCAAAGTGCTTATAAGACATTGCGCTTAGTTCACAATAAAGTGAAATTATCTGAAAAGAATTGCCGACCAACAATTAAATGAGTATATAGTTAATTTGTTGGTTTTCATTTTTGTGTGTTGATCAAGGAGGTCATACAAGTATATATGGTTTTGATAAAAGACCAATTTTAAGTCGAATCTATTTTTACAAATAATAATATATATTTTAAGACAAAATGTACGTATTAAAGTAAAAAGAAGCAGGGGCGGAGGGGGAGAGAGAGATAGAAGAAAATATCATTAGGACGAGACTATAGCTAGTTTCCTATGCCTCGGACAACTAATCTAATTCCGTGCCATACCTACGATTGTATACGGGACCTAATTTATATAATATAAGTTTACTCTGTCTTTAGGGATACATTGTTGTGAGATTGACTTGTGCTAATTTAAAGAATATAATTTTAAGCCAATATTAAAATATAATATTATAATCATAACAGTCCTTCAATTTAATTACTTCTCATAATATATCCTTCAAATATCACCGGAAAATAAACAATCTGGACGAATCTTTTTCTTTCTAGTTAAGATGCTATGCATGCTAGATTTTTTTCGACAGCTGTCCGTTGACAGGATTTTTCGTTAAAATTAAAAGTTCTTTAACAATTAAATCAAAATCGCCAGGTCTTTATATGCTCGGACTTGTTGATGTTTATTTCTTTCCATTTGTATGTGGCTCATATAGCAGGACTAACGGCAAAACGTGTGGCGGAAAATCACTTCCGTTATCGTTCCTTTTAAAGAACTCTTCTGGCTTGGAGGCAAGAAAAATGCAAGGGAAAACAAGAAACATGCGTTGGTGAAGAGAAGAATCGAGTCTTTGATCATCGTATTCCATGGTGTGACAATCAAAATGTAAATGCATATGCATTATTTTGTGTGCATGATTTTTAAACAATTATTGTTATGATTTCAATGGTCATCAATCTAAAAGATCCCGTTCACACATCAGCTTTTTGTTTACCACCCATCATCGCCGTCGGCATTGTCCTTCGGTACCGGCGACCCATTTCTCATCTACATCCCCATCATTAGCTTGTAACGAGTCTTAGTTCCATCTCTCAAATGTTGCTTTCAGAGGGGCATCATTGATGTTGGAAGCAAAGCGATGTATTTATAACAATGCATAAAACTATTGAAACTTACCAGGTTTAGAACATCCACTGACTTTAGAGGACTGTAATTGACTCCAATGCATCATCTCATGATGACAAGTCAGAAAAATACAGAATTGCAACTTACGTTTTTTTTGTGTACAATGATATACAGAAAAAGAGCAAAATTCGTTTTAAAAAATACTAGAGAAACTTGCATACTTGTAGCTTGTAGTATTGCAAGAAATAGTCGGGTACTGGAGCACCGACAAATCTGGCTATATATATAGCTAGATTTGGCTATATTGTCAAATATAAATAAACATGTATAGCACGAATGCAAACAAACATGCCAGAACTGGTCGTAATTATCTCGTGCACATCAATTGAATTGTTGACCAAACAGGTAAGTCGGTGAAATGAAAGTGATTCACCTAAAAACTCAATTTTCATTCATTTCTTTGAATTCTATCGTTGCATTTTTTCCCCTGTCAACATACATCACTTATTAGTAACAAACTATAGCGTGTCTACTCAATATGGCGTCTGCTTCGTGTTAGCAAAGATAAGCATCCCGATGATGCATATTCAGCCCTTGCTTTCGGAAGATGCTTCCGAGTAAGAATGATAACATGCAATGAAAGTTGTTCATGGGTCGGGAAGGAGTGAAATATTTTGTGTTTCGGTACAGAAATCGTTAATATTCCTGTCTGACCATCAGATTGAGAGGATTAAAGGATGCAAGTATGGAGTTTCTATATAAAAATATTTCATTTCACCAACTCACTTGTTTGGTCAACACTTCAATCGATGTGCAAGAGGTAATTACGACCAGTAATGGCATGTTTGTTTACATTCGCGCTATATACGTATAGTCATAGCCAAATCTAGCTTTATAGCTAGATTTGCTGGTGCTCCAGTACCTGATAGTGATAAATATAGTGCTGTCGCCGTGGCTTGAACTCACAACCCTTGGCACTCCAGCCAGATGCTCTATCGCTGAGCTAAAGGGAAATTCCAGACAGCTTGCGCTTGTAAGGCAACCTAATCAAAGCATATCTTTTACACTATTCCCCACTTTTTTTCAATCACCAACCCAGGTTCTTTGACTCCCAGAATAGGGTTCTCCTACCTTGAACGGAAAAAGGTCAACAGCACCAGTTTGTAGTAGGACGAGTTTAAGTGATAAAGATAGTGCCGTCGCTGGGGCTCGAACTCGCAACCCCTGGCTCTCCAGCCCGATGCTCTACCGCTGAGCTATAGAGAAATTCCTTACAGCTAACGCTTGTAAGGCAACGTAATCAATGCACATCTTTTACATACACACAACTTTGGTAGCAAGATTTTGCATAACTTTGATAGGATGCTTGCTATATTCCAAGCTCTAATATTGAAATTAAGAAAATAAATGTTGACTTCTGAAACAAACGTTGGGCAATTGTTGTAATCCTACAAACAGACTAGTAAGTATGTAGATTAGAGTATAGAAAACAATGTCAACTCTTCGTTAACCCTTTCAACCCTAGGTAACTTTAATAGACTCTACCATACATTTATTTGGAGGAGTTCATTATGGTCTGCAGTGTTGAAAGGGTTAAATAGTTAAAGTGGCTGAATATGTTTCACTGCTCATATTGTCTGTATAAACTAAGGGAAGAAGTAATGATTTTGTATACCTGGTAATCATTTTGCTAAGTAGATTCTATATTGTTTGACAGTTGATTTATGAAATTTCCCACCAAAATATGTATTCCAGATGACAGGGAAATATTTATAACAGGAAGAGGTTGACGAAAAATATAACTTTAACATATTGTGATACGAAATTGTTCAACTACCGGGTAATGCATATTTTTGGTTGTTTACCTGTCATCTTTGGATAATTTGGGTTCATTATACAAAATAAGAAATACAGGGACAGATTGATAAAACATTTCCAGAAAATCCTTCTTCTAATTTACCGCAACTATACTGAATCTGCTAGGTATTCAAAATGATTGATTTTTTAAACAAGTGTGTACTATATAAAGTCTGGCGAAACCACATAAGTAATCATGGCTAACAACTAAATACTTGTGATGAAATGGTAAGTGAGTAACTGATATAAAAAACACCTATTGACATTGATTGTAGATAGTTAATGTATTTTCCTGACACATAATATAATGCCTTACTGGAAAAAGTAAAATTAACCAGGTTTCTTTATACCTTTTTTTTTCAGAAGAACATGTCCGGTATATCGCTTTTATCATTGGAGGGAAGTGATGTGATTGATGTACCACTGACAAAGACAGTCATAGGAAGGGGACCATTCCTACAGGTGAAGTTTAATCTGTTTCAGTTGGCATTGATAGCAATATATGGGTCCAGGTGTAAATCTGCAAGCTTAACAATAAGTTAACATAAGATTTTCAGTTAATATACGTTCAAGAAAGATTGAATTTAAGACTAAAATTGTATATAGTAAAAAGCCAATTATCTGGAACCCGTAAGGAGACATACATAAGGTTAAGATAACAGGGCTTTCAGTTGACGCTTGACAAAATCTTCAATTAGTTGAAGGTGGTCACTATATGGTAGAACTAGAACATCTTTAGCAATTATATAAGTCAAATAATAATTTCCTGAAAACTGAAGGGTCAAAATACCTGTCTAATACATATATAGCGTCCTTTCAAACGCAAATTTTGTGAAGTCAAATGAAAGTCCTTGATAAGCAGTCATTTGGATAAGCCTTCTCAAATGATCAAAGTTCACATAATCAATGTTCTACTGTATAAGGATTTAATATATGGTAATCATCTAAAATAAATACAAGGAACCCAATATTTTTGGTGAATTTTTCAAATATATTTTAAGATTGCAATTTGAATATTGATGTTAAATATAGTTAAGCCCACCCCATGGGTTTTCTCCGGGTTCTCCGGTTTCCTCCCACACTAAGACCCCTGTAGGCCAGCATCCGGGCCAACAAGAGTGATTAATATAAGTTGACACAACTTGTTTCATAATTGTTGTAAAATAAATAAAGTTAATATTTTTATATATTGAAACTTTCTTAAAATATTTTCAACACAACATAAAATGTTAAAGTTATCTGCTTGTTTCAGGTCACCGATAAGAGAGTTTCAAGGAACCACGGCATACTAGAAGTGGAAGATGGAGACTTGTATCTGACGCCAGTGTGTATAGTTTTGTATTCTTGACATGCTTGTGTTTGAATGTATGAGTTACTATCTATCATCATTTTCCATCTTACCCACCCGGTTGGCTATGAGGTCTACATCTAGAGTATTTGACGGTGTTGTACGTACTCTGGTGTGTGATGGCATATAGCTAGGTACAGGTTAGATTCCTGATGTCAGGTCAGAGGCAACTTGTTTCCAACTTTTCTAGCAGGGCCTTAAAGTTTTTGTTTGGATATTGTTTATGTTAGTGCGGACATTTCGTGAATGTTTTAATTTTCCACTACAGATTTAGTGGTGATGTGTGTTTATGTGGAATAGAAACATGAGCACCTTTTTGAAAATCACCACCAGATGTACTTGATAAAAGATCTTTAAGTCTTAATGTCGTGTGAAGAAATCTGATTTATCACATAACAGGATGTTATTCAGCGTCATGTCACCATTACACAAGTTTTTAGTCTGTAACAGGTGAAATTTACCTGCAGTGATATCACTAGGAACATAACCACCATTGATGTCACAAATTCTATGCAGTGGCAAAACTTCTGATGTTACTTTGATTTTTATTGTCTTAAATAAAAATAAAATTTGGAATTCAACATCCTTTAGTTGAGTATATCATAAAAAAATTCAAACCTGTTTTTATTACATCTGATTTTTTTTTTAAATATCCAAAAACTTGTTTCATAAAAATCGTTTGTAATGGAAACCTTTTTGAGATTCTCCGTTTATTTAATTGTTAAAAGTTTGAATATGTTCTTTATTTTGTTCTTTACAAGAAGTTAATAGATCACAACCTTCTCCAAAATTGGCCGTTATTGACGCGAGTAATTTTAGGGTGCAAGTAACGTAGGGAACAGGAATGATTGAAAATAAGTAGTGTTGACTATTTTCCCTGTAGATATATATCCCATGATTAGTAATGTTTTTCCTTACTCTTTTAAAGACACACAGTAATCCATGCTTTTTCAAGAAGAATGGAGGAGGTTCGGCCGTGGCTCTCCCTAAGGACGAGAAGCGATGTCTCGGAGCAGGGGATGTGTTTGGTTTACTCCCAGATAAACTCTTCTTCAAAGTAAAAACAAACAAGATTACAAATGGAGCAAATAAAGGGTGAATATTGTTTTTTATTTGTTACAAATGATTAAATTACTGCCAACTGGCCAAAGATGCCAATGAGTTTAATGACAGATAAATGTATTGGATATTTTTCAAAAATGTTAAAATTCATAATTAAAAGTGCTCATCTATTATTCTAAAAGAAAACATGATTTTTCACCTTACAAGTAATTAATGGGCAATATTTGTTTGTTGTTACAATTGATTTTAATTATAGAATTAATTATTGAAATGGTATTATTGATTTCCAGTGGAGTTCAAAATGATACGGCAGCAGCAAAGTCAGAAGGTATGTTAATAATTTTTTTCAGAACAATTGGATTCCTATCATCCTGCAAAAACTCAGACATTGAAAATCTTTCTGGACTGTAGAACTACGACTTAATTTTGTTGTTTCTGAATACATGTATCAGTGATCAGATTGCTGTCGTTGGAATTGACAGAATTCCTGCTCGGCTCTTTGACTCCTGTCATATATGTACATTGTACAGAAATATCTTGATGATATCATCTGCTGCAGATTAGTTTTCCATGTGTGCCAGAATATCTTTAAATTCAAATTGTCTGTACAAATAACTATTAAACTGGATGTTACTATCACATTGAGCCAAAGTCTACTTATCGAGTCACAAACTTGTGAAAAGCTCTGGTCAATGTCGTCGTGGAATAAAAACACATAGCTATTAACTTCTGCTACTCAGTTTTGTGCTTATCCCACCAAATTTCCATGAGCATTTACAATTTTCCCTTTTCAGGATCAGAAAAAGAGGAGGAAGAGGATGATGAGGATGAAGAGGATGATGAAGATGATGAAGATGATGAAGATGACAAGAAAAACACTGGTAGTCCAGTAAAAAAGGTAAACCTGAAATAATGTTTGTACTCCATGGGGGTATGTTCTTATTTAATGGACTTTTGAAGTGTTAATATTTCAAATGATTGGAAGAGGGTTTCATGTAAGTGTTTATACTCTATATTGGATTATGTTATTCTGTTCCTGCTTTTTCCATCAAAATATCAACAACTGAAATCAGAATTAAAAAAAAAAGTAGGTTTATGAAAGAATACTATTAGACTTACCCCTCCTGCCCATGCAGGGTGTGGTACATGTATAGGGAAATTCCTCCCCAGGGGTTTTCAAATTGGGTAAAACGTAAGGCTTGCTGTGAATTTTGTATCTGTTTGAAAATCCTGAGTCTGGAATTTTCCTATCCTACACCCCTCGGCACAAAACAAACAATATTCATCTATCATTCCAGTCACTACATTTAGCTCAGAAACAGCCAAAAAAAAGCATCGCAATTTCTGCATCTCAGCATCAGAATATTACATGTCATTCTTGTACTGTGATATCTTGCACATGAAATAGGATGTAAGATAAAAATGTCTTGCACCCCTTAACCTAGTCCAAATTATTCTGACGTTTTATCGACTTTTTTTATATCGGTCTGTCGTCGATTAACGTCAGAACTCTGGCCCTCTATAATATGCGGGAAATAAGCGACCCGCACCCGGGTCGCACTTCAAACTGATATTTTAGAAACAAATCGTCACTTTCACACACATGTCGCACATGGATCGAAAGATCTATTCTTTATGCACTAGGTGGTATCAATAACATGTTTCAAAGATCATTAGGAAAAGTATTTTCCAACGTTTTCTATACCAACCCATGTTTTTAATGGAAATTAGGGCATGAGCAATGTCACATGACTTGACGAGATCTCGCGTTACCGAAGGTATTTCCCAACGTTATGACGTAGGCCGGCGAGATTTTAGTCACATGGCATTAGAAGGCGGGGATTGTATTGGTTGTTTGAGGCATGTAATTTATGTTCATCTTGTGCATAAAGAATAGATCTTTCAATCCATGTGCGACATGTGTGTGAAAGTGCCAATTTGTTTCTAAAATATCAGTTTGAGGTGCGACCCGGGCGCAGGTCGCTTATTTCCCGCATATTATAGAGGGCCGGAGTTCTGACATTAATCGACGACAGACCAATATAAAAAAAGTCGATTAAACGTCAGAATAATTCGGACTACCCTTAACCCAGGACAGTTCTGTCATGTATTCACAGGAATGAAAGAAATTAATTTCACTTTGTTTTTAATTAAATCAGATCCTGCATTTTGTACAGATAAATGTTACGTTTCCTTTAATACATTGCCTATGAGAAAAAGTAGATATCTTGTTTTGTGAGAAATATGATAATCTTATGGTTGCAGAAGACCGTACGACCTCCGGGGAAGGGAGATATGAGCCTGCCTACCGACAAGAAGCGAGTACTCCCAAACTGGATGGTACAGATTGCCAAAGTATCTGGGGGTTCTCCTAGCCCCGCCAAGAAGGCCCCAGCTAGATACGATACGAAAAAAACAGGTAGGATTTATCATTTATTGAAGTACGGAGAAACTTGTGTAAAACCAAATATCACAGGGTTCAAACTTGATGTCCACAGACAGACAGCCAGTGATTTGAATTAAACAGATTTAAGTCCCCTTTCTGTAAAACAGTGTTATCTAGTTGATGGTTCGGGTGACATACGTTTCCAGATTTTGCTTTACTACCGTGGAACTTTAATGAAGATCTTTATCCTCAAGTAGTTGCAGGAATTGTAACTCATGTCTAACCGTTATACAGGTATATTTCTGACATTTCAAGTCATGAGTCATAGAGCTTGAGTATCCAGCCCATTGAAAACTTGTGATTCAGTGACCTGGGATTACGGCCGCAAATTAAACGCTATGTCTTCTCTTAACTCCCACATTGAACTTGTGATAAACCAAACTTGGATGAAGTTGCTGAACAAAAACCTATTATTAGCTCACCTGCCCGAAGGGCAAGTGAGCTTATGTCATGGTGCGGCGTCCGTCCGGCGTCCGTCCGTCCTCGTCCGTCAACTTTTCCTTTAAACAACTTCTTCTGAAGAATGGACAGGCCTAGAGTCATGATATTTGGCTGAAAGCTTCGTTGGTAGAAGCCCTACAAAGTTTGAGAACGAAAATGACCTTGACCTGTTTTCAAGGTCACAGGGGTCAAATATTGAAAAAACTTCAAACGACTTCTTCTGAAGAACTGAAAGGTATAGAATCTTCATATTTGGCTGATGGCTTCCTGGGATAGAGCCCAACAAAGTTTAAGAATGAAAATGACCTTGACCTACTTTCAAGGTCACAGGGGTCAAATGTGTCAAACACTTCAAACGACTTCTTCTGAAGAACTGAAAGGTATATAATCTTTATATTTGGCTGGTGGCTTCCTGGGATAGAGCCCAACAAAGTTTGAGAATGAAAACTAGTTTGACCTACTTTCAAGGTCACAGGGGTCATATATGTCAAAAGCTTCAAATGACTTCTTCTGAAGAACTGAAAGGTATAGAATCTTTATTTTTGATTGATGGCTTCCTTGGATAGAGCCCGACAAAGTTTGAGAATGAAAATGACCTTGACCTTCTTTCAAGGTCACAGGAGTCAAATGTGTCAGACACTTCAAACGACTTCTTCTGAAGAACTGAAAGGTATATAATCTCTATATTTGGCTTGTAGCTTCCTAGGAAAGAGCCGAACAAAGTTTGAGAATGAAAATGACCTTGACCTTCTTTTAAGGTCACATGAGGCAGATATGTCAAACACTTTAAACGACTTCTTCTGAAGAACTGGTAGTTATAAAATCTTAATATTTGGCAGGTGGCTTCCTGGGAAAGAGCCAAACAAAGTTTGCGAATGAAAATGACCTTGACCTACTTTCAAGGTCACAGCGTTCAAATATGTCAAACAGTTCAAACAGCTTCTTCTGAAGAATTAAAAGGCATAAAATTATAATATTTGGCTGGTGACTTCCCGGGATAGAGCTCACCAAAGTTTGCAAATGAAAATGACCTCAACCTACTTTAGAGGTCACAGAGGTCAACAACATTTTAATGGATTTGTTCTTGAGAACTAAAAGGAATGGATTCATAAGATTTGGCTGGTAGCTTTTTGGAATAGAGCTAACCAATTTGAGAAGGAAAATGACATTGACCTACTTACAAGATCACAGGGAAAAATATGTCAAGCAACTTCTGAAGAAGAATCAAAAAGCATAGAATCTTATAATAATATTTTGCTGGTAGTTTCAACAGATGGAGCCAACAAAGTTTGCGAGGGAAATATTTTTAGTGCAATATAATATTTAATGAGAATATTTTGCTATGACTGCTTAAATATTCAGGTGAGCGATACAGGGCCTCTTGTCTTCCTTTCTGTCAAAAATAAAAAAATTAGGAAAAAAACTCTCAATTGGAACCCAATAATTACAGTGATTGTCATCTGACAAAAACAGGCTACAATTTAGAAAAATATGAATTGGTGAAAATTAGATTTGATAGTTTGAGTTTAGGATCTCTTCCCCCTTTAACCTTTGTTTAGATATAACTGTAGCACAGTACAGCCTGGACACTAAAATAGCCAGGAGCTGGCCATGGTGTAACTCACAGTACCTCACTTTCAGTCCAGGCTTGGTGCTGCTATACGACTAGAGTTAGGCTAAGGCAAACATCAGACCTAGGGGTCGTCTTACAAAAATTAGATTTATACATTAATACATATAGGATAGACGGCTCCTTCTCTCCTCATGTTTCCCTTTTCTATTCCTTCACTCTTTACTTTATCCCTTCTACTCATTTTCTCTCTTTTCTTCGTCTGCTGGATAACCCAACTACTCAGTAGTGAAATGGACGTAAAACCAACCAATCAATCAATCAAGCCTAGACACTTCTGAAGACCAGGTAGCTCAGTCGGTTAGAACAATAGTATAACTAGCTTCACTGAAGTTTCAAGCTCAGGACATTTTTGCTGATTATATTTTGTTCATTTCACCTTAATTATTTCTCAAAAATGTTCCGCTGGGTATATTTTTCTTTTCTGAAATGGTGCACCAAAGCTGTAGTCATGATTTAAACACAGATTCCAGTACTTTGTTACGGATTTTGGTAGTGGTACAGGGATTGTCATTTTATTGTTCCTACCAGTACATGTACTCATTAAGTAGTTTAGTAAGCTTAGGACATAAAACTGAGTTGTTACTGTTTTACAGCAACACCCAAAAAGGCAGATTCTGATGAAGAACAAAAATCGCCCAGAAAAAAGGCCAAAGGTAAGAAATATATACATTTGTCACATTGAAGAAGAATTTGTGTTGCAAAAAGGTTTTGTTTTTGCACCAGGTTGTCGTAGGGATTTAATAATGGGATCTATGTCAGCATATCGTTGATTATTTATGCATTATTCAATATAGGTTAACAGTTGGTCTGATTTATAGATTTATATTGCAGTAGATGAAATAATTGTCAACTCATGCATCTCTGCAAGTGTACATGTTTGTTTGTTTGTTTGTTTGGGTTTAACATCCTTACAACAGGTAAGGTCTTATGACATATATTTGGCATGAACAAAGCTGTAATTTCATGTAAAAGGAAAAAAACATTTAAATTAAAAATAGACTGTTAAATATTTTTTTTAAAAACCATGTCAAGTTGTACTTTTTATTTTTAAATTAGCATGAGATGATACCTTTTCTCATCATTTTGTTGACTTTAATGAAACATTGTAGAGGTTGTTCAGAAATTTTAATACTTAACACGAACATATCACAACCACCAAAAACACACACCCATACACTACATGCAAGCATCTTGCACACAGGGAAGGCACGTCTTTAAATGACCATAGCTGTTGATAGGACGTTAAACAATACTAAACCAAACAGTCTGCTATCTGTTCGGCCCATACCTTTTCTAAATGACATAGGATTGAGTTGTGATGGAATGTTTTAACAGCATGTGATTATCCCCATCCAGGCCACTAGAAAATATGTATCACTCTCCTCATCATTAGCTCAAGGTCAATTTCACAATAGAGGTCAATTCAGTGGTCAAATTATAATTACATAAGCAAATTTTCCCTCAACCCGAATCACAGAGGTCAAGGTCAAAGGTTAAATCACAAAAATGCTGTGATACATACGTATACTGTACTTACTCATCAAGACACATGACCATGGGCTAGATTGGCATCAATTCATTATCCAACTCGTCTCGCCAAAACTTTCTAAATATTGAAGAGTTTGCACTACAAAGCCATCATGTAGCCACATTCTAGACATTTATGTAATTTTCAGTTCATTACACAAAAATTCTTTTCTGACATGTTGTAAAATGAGATAAGTTGGGAGGCATTGAACATATTCTGCTGATTTTTTACTAAATTACCTGTACAGTAGCTGTTGTCTTGGTCTAATAGTGTATACATATCTAGTGTGTCTATGTTGGCTATAGGAGCAGTTCAACAAAAGACAGATTTCAGTGAATCAGGAGAAGAAGAAGAGGAGTCTGAAGAAGAATATAAACCCAAACCAACTAGTCGAGGCAGAGGTAAGGTGAAAGATATGAACATGTAGTTACGTCTATTGACCTGAGAATGTGATATCGATGGTGTTATCTCACCTAGCATACGTTTGGTATTTCACTACATGTATAAACAAGTAAGGTGTTGGGTGCATGCTTATTTCCTAGGTAAGATTTGGTGTCAGTTAGAGAACAATAGGATTTAATTACAGGTAAATTATAGTCTGCACTATAAAGTGTCTTACCATATATGTATAGGAGTGTATACGTAGAGAAACATCCTAACAGTGAGCTTTGTTGTTAAATTCTTTTTGTTTATGGTTATCTTTGTTGAGACTTTTTTTCTCACGTTACATGCTTCAGATTCTTTTTTTCACTTTCATATAATATCATACACATCATCATAACATATACACTGCATCAAAATATTAACATTCATTTTTCATTTAATATTATATCATACTTGTCAGAATTCCTAAAGGTCAATCTCAGAGAGTTTTACTTTCATTTTAAGGGAATTTGGGTCAAAATAAGGGAGGTTTTATTTGCAGTGTGATTCATAGCATAAAACCATATATTAGTCCACTAAATTCATTAAACAAAGTACAAAATGAAACAAATTAGAAATTTTATTTTGAATTTTGCATAGTTTTTGTGTATAATTATTAGAAACAAAAAGTTTACAAAACAGAATATCACACAGTTGAGATATCAGACTGAAGAAGCAGATTATACTTCACAGCTTCAGTGAAATTCAGTGCGACAGGCTAGCTAATAGACACAGCAGTCACAAGAACCGCTGATGTTGAATTTAACTCACATTATTTGAACTTTGAACTTTGATAAGTTTGTACATGTTAGGATAGCAGTTGTCTTTGTTCATTTACGTTTGAATTTTTTGGGCAACGTGATACAATCTGGAAACATGTGCTTAACAAGAGGACAAAAATGATCCACTGGAAAAAAGGGGACTAATTAGAAATTAAATAATTTTTTTAAGACGAAGCTGAGGTTAATATCACTTTCAGGTCCACATAACCACATATTCACGGGTACTCGCATTCTTTATTGTTGTGTTAGATCTGAAATGAAGACATTGTGATCTTTTGATATATAAAAAATTATAGAGAGTAGTAACCCTCTGTTTCTAAAATAGCAACAATGAGTCAACATTACAAATTACCAACCTCCACACATTGATAATGATTTGACCAGTGAGGATGTAGAAATATGTGTTCTCTAATATTGACCAGTGCTGTGTGGCCAAGCCAAGAAGTTGATGAGGAAGTACAGTAAGGTAAAACAGAATGAAGTCTAGTGATGTGTGTTAGGCTAAGTGAGACAGGATCCTAAACAGTGTTATAAAATCTCGAAAAATTGGGATTGAAAAATAATGATTACAAATAACGGATTTATTGTTTGGTATCAAATGTTATTTTCTTGTGTGATGTGTACAGGAGCAGGTCAGAAAAAGAAGGCAGCCGAATCAGAGGAGTCTGAGGAGGAGTCTGAAGAAGAGTACAAACCAAAACCTCGCTCACGGGGCAAGAGTAAGTTCATACACTCATGTTCAGTATCACAGGGAAGGAGTACATTGTTTATGTTTACAGAGTAGGGGCAAGTTCATTTATGTTTGCAGGGTAGGGGCACGTTGTTTATGTTTACAGGGAAGGAGTAAATTGTTTATATGTACAGAGTAGGGGCAAGTTCATTTATGTTTACAGGGTAGAGACATTTGTTCATGCCTAGGGGTTAGCTGTAAATTGATTTACTTGTAGAGGGGTTAATAAATATATTGATGTTCATATATCTTCATGGGGTAAAGGTATATTTACTCTATGTCAAGGGGTAGAAGTATTTTATTTAGCTAGACATGCCGTGTAGGATTACATCACTATACTCACACTTTTAGGACGGGGTACATCCACTCACTCTTGCCTGTGAGACAGGGGTACATTAATTTTTGTTTGTGCCCATGAGGCAGGGGTATGTCCAGTTAATCATGCCGATGAGGTCAGGATACCTCCATTTAGTCACACGCATGGGACAGGATCTGATCTTCAAATGTTGTCCAATAGATGTGTCACAATACATCAAGAGTGTATCACGATATATTGCAATACAGAATGAATATATTGCGATACGTATCCCAATATATTGTCATAGGAAAGATGTGCTCGATTTTATAATATGTTGTTGTCAGAATGTTACTTAATCATATATAATATGGATCACATAGATTTAAGATTTTTGTCAAACCAGCCATCAATTACAAAATTTGAACTATTAAAAGCCGACTTTATGCTAATTGGCATATCTGTTGGAATTTGTAGTAATTTGCAAAGTTAAAACACCAAGCAGAATGAAATACATAAAAAATAAGCATTTAAAGAAATTGCGATACAGCAATAATTCCTTTCTGTATTGTGGTACAATACGATATATCCGTGTATTGCGATATACCTGTTTTCGGATATATTAGGACAGCCCTAGTGTCAAATGTAAACATCATATATCCCATAGACATTCTGGCTTGGAAACACTTTGATCATATGGTTGGAAGACCAAATGTATACTTATACTTCAAATTCTGTTTAGCTACTCAAAGAAAGAGGAAAAAAGACGAGGACGATGATGAAGAAGATGAGGAGGAGGAGGAGGAGGAATATAAACCTAAAAATACTGGTAGAGGAAGAGGGAAAAAACCTGCAGTCAAATCTCCGTCTAAACGAGCAAAGAAACAGAAAGAATCCTCATCTGAGGATGAAATGTCTGAAGAGGAGTCGCCAAAGAAATCAAAGAGGAAGGATGAATCTGAGGAGGAAGAAGAAGTAAAGAAAAAGCCATTTAAACGAGTAAGACGAGTGCGGGACTGGAATACACCTTCCACTAGTCGGCCAGCAAGGTCCGCAGCAACAAAGAGGGGGAGCTATGGTATGTCATAGGATTGTCACCAGTACATGGATACCAGAATACTGGCTAGGTAGCTGTATCAAATCATTGAAATGCATGTTCTGAACATCTATGATGGTATTAAGCCGAGTTGCTTAAATATGTACCATGATATGCTACAGCCAGTGTTTATTTTTTAAAACATTTGATTTCAACAAATGATTCATGCAGGTTTGAAAAGAATAGTAGAGAATTAAAATATTCCTTATGTAGTTATGTGTGATTATGTCATAGGTAATAAAGATCAATCAGTGAGATGTTTAAACTCATGCTAGATTATTCTTCTGAGAGTCTATGTTGTGTGCTAATGTAAGAATGTACAATTATTTTTAACTTTGGTGTGAATGCAGCAGAATTCTCCTAATTGAAAGGCACAAATCTCTGAAAAGAAAAAAAAGAAATGTCTGCTCACATTAGTTTCCGCTCAATAACTTCAGTAATTTTGAATGGATTAATTTCAAACTTAGTAGGAAGGTTCTTTGCCATGAAAGCTCGAACAAGTTCAATAACCAAAATTATTTGCCAGTAATTTACGGAGTTATGGTCCTTTGTAGAATTTCTGAAACAGTGTCCGCTCAATAACTTCAGTAATTTTGAATGGATTAATTTCAAACTTGATTGGAAGGTTCATTGCCAAGAAAGCTCAAACAATTTCGATAACCAAAATTATTTGTCGGTTATTTATGCAGTTATGGCCCTTTGTGGCAAATTGCTCATGCAACATCCGGAGGGCGTATCATGTACCTCTTCGCGGAACTTTTGTTGTTGTCTGTTCCAAATTGATATAAAGGGAAAATGTTGAGTTCCTGATGTGGACAAATTCACTCAGTTTCTAAATTATGGATTACAGTTGATCTTTTCAGATTTTCTTGTTTCTTGACCATTTTCAGAGTCATTAAGGCCTATTTATTTAATTACTACTGATTTTCATTGGTGGTAGGGGGGAGGTTGAGATGGGAGTGGTGGGGAAATAAAGCAGCTGCTCCAAATGGTTTGTTTGAAGTACACGTATAATCAACTGGCCCGCTGAAAACATCCTTATGATGAATACACCTCCGTATAACACACTCAGAAGGTTACTTGTGTATCAGCAGGATATCACTGCAGGTCACTGCCATGTAGGCCTCCTAGGTATACCATGCAGATAATTAACTATGTTTGAGTTATACCTGGTGCGCAGTACAGGCCCATTGGGCCATTTCTTTGTCCTTTTATTGCAGTAGATGAGTTTGTTGCGCCGGATGACCTTTCAGACGAGGATGAGGACGTGTCGGATGAGAAGGACAGTGACTTTGTGCTAGAAGAGGATGACTCGGGTAGCGACTGGGAGGCATCAAATCGAAAAGTAAATACTTCTGTAATTTTGGTTGATGTACAATAAAGAGAATCTAGGCACTTTCCTTGTACAGCAGGCTGTATTACCATATCATTTACATAATATACAATCAAAATAAGTTTTAAAGCGAATAATCTAGGCTCCAGCTTTGGTTTTAACAATATCCCCCCTCTTCCTTGTATATTACAATGTATGTAAAGAAATACCCACCAAAGCATAATTTGGATGTTCTTCATGATATGTTTATATATTGTTTTAGAGTAATGATTTTCAACACAAGTCATGGTTAAAGTACTGGTAGGTGTTTTTATCCCCCACATTCACCGAAACGGGGGATATTAATTTGGGTTTGTCCGTCTGTCTATCTGTCACGCTTCGTTTCCGTGCAATAACTACAACAAATATTAACCGATTTTCTTCAAACTTGATCACAGGGTTAAATGCCTTAAGGGCTCAGCCAAGTTCGATGACGACTTTAATCAGACCCCATTTGGAAGAGTTATGGCCCCTTGCATAACAAAAACGTCATTATTATCTGCGTTTCGTTTCTGTGCAATAACTACAACAAATGTAAACTGATTTTCTTCACACTTGATCACAGGGTTATATGCCTTAAGGGCTCAGCCAAGTTAGTAACCACTTTAATCCGACTCCATTTGGCAGAGTTATGGCCCCTTGACTAACGAAATATGTCATTATCTGCAGTTTCTGCTTACCGGTAATAACTCTAGCAAATATTAGCCAAATTCCTTCAAACTTGATAGCAATGTTTGTGTTCCTCTGTCTTTCCACCCATCTTGGCCACTCTTTGTTTTTGGTGTGATAATTGCTGTAGATATTGTTCAGATGATTCAACCAAATTACGTATGCACATCCGACTCATGCTAAGTTTGCCAATCAATGTGATTTGTGCATATTTACAGACAATCAATGAGGTATAGGGGTTGGTTTTTTTCTTCAAGTTTTAAGCTTTTCATTATGTCTCAACAGCACGATACTCACATATTTAAACCTAACCTCATTAATGTTAACCTACAATATGTCATGCAAGCGGGGGATATAAATTCCACGATTTTGCTTGTTTTTCCTTTATTCATATGTGAGACTATAAGGATTCATTAGTGTGAATTGAATCCATGTTTTGTCTGTCAGTTGTTAAGGTTGAAAGCAATACAGGTTTCTGTTTTATGTAGTAATTTTACTTAAGATATCCAAAAAGTGTTTTCATTATAGGAAAATAAATGGTTCAAAATGTTACCATATAGTTTTTAGGTCACCTGAGCTTTACTCAAGTGACTTATTCTCATCGCTTTCAGTCCGTCGTCGTCCGTAATTTTTTTTACATTTTCAACTTCTTCTCAAGAACCTGTGGATGGATTTTTTTAAAACTTGGTCAGAATCATCTTTGGTAGATGAGGCTACAAAATTGTAAAATTGGGATTCCTACCCCAACCCCTGGGACCGGGGTGGGGCCCCAAAGGGAAAATTAACCAATATTTCAAAAATCTTTTTCTCCTGACTTAGTGTTACTACAGTCATTTTCTCTGCATGGAAAGAAAACATCAGGGGCTTTACTTAAATTGTAAATTTCAGGACCCCCGAGTTATCCGTTCTCCCTTGGGGAGGGGGTAAAGTTTACTAAAGTTTATATAGGGAAATTACACTTTTGGGTATATTTTGACAACTTTCTGTAGGAAATCCCGAGATATCCGTTCTCCCTTAGGGAGGGGGTAAAGTTTACTACAGTTTGTATAGGGAAATAACACTTTTGGGTATATTTTGACAACTTTCTGTAGGAAATTATTTTTACTTTGTGAGAATTATCCTTGGAGGAAGATGGTTTCAAATTGTAAAATTGAAATTCTTACCCCAACCCTAGGGGCCAGGGCAGGGCCCCAAAGGGAATATTAACCAATATTTCCAAAATGTTCTCCTCCAGACTCAAAGGTACTACATTCATTTTCTCTGCATGGAAAGAAAATCATCAGGGGCTTTATTTAAATCGTAAATTTCAGGACCCCCCAGCTATCTGTTCTTTCTTGGGGAAGGGGTAAAGTTTACCATAGTTTATATAAGGAAATAACACTTTTGGGTATATTTTATCCATTTTCAGCAGAAAATTACTCAAACTTAGTCAGAATCACCTTTGGTGAATGAGGGTATTACATTGTAAAATTGGGATTCCTGCCCCCATTACCCAGGGGCTAGGCCGGGGCCCCAAAGGGAACATTTACAATATTTTCACATTCTTATCCTTTGATGACATGACAAGTATTGTATTTCACTTAGTTTACATGCTGATTTCCACATCACATCCAAACAATAAAATAAAGCTACCAGTATCTATAATATAACTCAGGTGACCGCTAAGGCCCTTGGGCCTCTTGTTTCTCATAATCATCAAGGGTGTTAGAAGTGTTGGGGTTGGGTTTAGCTCACCATCATTACATATTTGGCTGTTCAAATCAACCTTTGTCCATTGTCTGTCCTTAAACAATTTTTTTCGTTACTGCTGTTACTTAAGATTACAGGACATATCTGGCTCAGGTTTGATATTCAGGTTTTCCTGGTTTTATAAACTGATTGTGGTGTTTTTTTTTAATTCAGGCAAGATATCAAGATAAAGGGCAAAAGAAAAAACCAGGTCGTAAGAGAGGACGTCAGAAGCGGGGTTCTGACAGTGAATCTGATGAAAGTTATGTTCCACGTGTCAGTAAGCGACGAGCAAGTGCTGCTGCAACTAGGAAGTTCAAAGACATTGATGAGGATTCGGATGAGGAATATAAACCTAGACCGTCATCACGACGAGGCGGTGGACAGCGAAAAAAAAAAAGTAGTGAGGAAGACGAGGATTCTGAGGAGGATTACAAAACAAAAAGGGGACGACCGAAAAAGAAGAAGAATGAGAGCGAGAGTGAAGAGGATGAATCTGAGAACGAAAAGCCAAAGGCACGAAAACCTCAGAAAAAAGGAAAAGATGAGGATAGCGATGAATCTGAGGAGGAAAAGCCAAAGGCACGAAAACCTCAGAAAAAAAGAAAAGATGAGGATAGCGATGAATCTGAGGAGGAAAAGCTGAAGGCACGAAAACTTCAGAAAAAAGGAAAAGATGTGGATAGCGATGAATCTGAGGAGGAAAAGCCAAAGGCACGAAAACCCCAGGAAAAAGGAAAAGATGAGGATAGCAATGAATCTGAGGAGGAAAAGACAAAGGCACGAAAACCTCAGAATAAAGGAAAAGATGAGGATAGCGATGAATCTGAGGAGAAAAAGCCAAAGGCACGAAACCCCCAGAAAAAAGGAAAAGATGAGGATAGCGATGAATCAGAGGAGGAAAAGCCAAAGGCACGAAAACCCCAGAAAAAAGGAAAAGATGAGGATAGCGATGAATCTGAGGAGGAGGAGGAGGCAGAGGAAAAGAAGAAAACTTCAAAGGCAGCAGCAAAACCAAAGCCAGAAGCAAAGAAAAGTAAAGACAGTGATGATGATGACGACGGTGCTCCAAAAGTGAAAAAGAGGAAGAAATGCATGTTTGGAAAGAAATGTTACAGGTAGTGTATGTTCTTATAGCAAAATGAAACACTCTACTCAAAGGTCTTTTAAAGAATTTTCATGAAACTTAACACAAATGTTTATAGTATCAATTACTAACTCTTAGTTTGATTTTGACACCAATCTGAAAATGTATATGGCTGCCAATGGCCATTTTGGATTTCAGCATCTGGGATAGTTTCTTTGTAATAACTCTTGAAAGAATCATTTCATTTTCATGAAACGTTCTCAATTTTGACCTGGATCTGAAATTCAATTTGGCTGCCAGATGGCATCTTGAATTTCAGCCCCTGAGGTGGTTTCCACGCAACAACTCTAGACCGAATAGTGTGATTTTCATGAAATAGATAATAAAAAAAGCAAATTTGATTTTTAGTCAGATGCAATATGGCCACCGGTGGCTATGTAAGATTTCAGCACCTGAGATGGTTACTGTGCAATAACTACTGAAGGAATGTCATTTTCATGAAATTTTCCTCACATATCTATGGTATCAATAACCCACTAAAATTAGATTTTCAACTAGTTTTGAAATTAACATGGCCACCAAAACTCATCTAGGATTTTGTGAAAAGTAACAATGTTTTTTTGCAATAACTGTTGTTAGATGTTTTGTAATTGAATTTCTTGCAACACCTGCACCTGTCTATGTTATCAGATATCCATACATTTATTTATTTTGACCCAAATCTGAAAATTAACATAACTGCCAGGAGAGTGCAGGCGACACATCCATTTCTATGGGATTCTAGCTATTGCCATCCTCGATATCCAGGGGTTACGCTCACTTTCCTCTCTACACCCCTGGAATATGTCATAGCAAAATGGAAGGCTCAGTGTGCGCCACCTTGTTGATGAGACAAGACTAGTGCGATCCTTTTATGTACTTTAACTCATTCACCCCTGAAGAAAAATTTAAACTCTTCCAATTCAAAGGTTGGAATAGTTCATTATGAAATTTCAGGGGTGAATGAGTTAAAAGAATATTGCGGTCATGTAACAGTAAAATTTGACAGGCTTTAAAGTCGTGCGTCTCTCCTTTGTAATCCTCCGAGGACAGGTATGACATATTCCAGGGGTGTAGAGAGCAAAAGTGAGCGTAACCCCTGGATATCGAGGATGAGCTATGGCAAGTAACATGGTACCTATCGGGTATAGAACCACACTAGCGATGTCAATTCTACTTTGTACAAGGTTGACTTGATAACTGTTCTTGGTTGATTTTACTTGTTAGAAAAAATCCTGCTCACTTCACCGACTTCTGCCACCCTGGAGACGATACGTTTGACGAGGAGGACAGTGAAATGTCTGATGATATGTTGGCCAAGTAGGTATCCCCCACCCCACTCTGCTGGAAACAGCTGACACATAATGACACATTTCAAGTCAAATATATAGATATAATGAAACGAAGACGTTTTTTGAAGTGATGGTAAGTTGTTTTTTAATCCCAGAAGAGATGCTTACACTTGAAATAGGGATTTACCTATAAGTGGTCATGTTGTCCGAACAATAAGATAAAAAGTGATCATGATTCTGGTGAAGTTGTGGCATTTTGGAGCATAGATTAGGACAACACTGGATACTGCACACCCTGACTAGTTAATGTTAGGACAGCACTGGATACTGCACACCCCGACTAGTTAATGTTAGGACAACACTGGATAGTGCACACCCTGACTAGTTAATGTTAGGAAAACACTGGATACTGCACTCCCTGACTAGTTAATGTAAGGACAACACTGGATACTGCACACGCTGACTAGTTAATGTTGGGACAACACTGGATAATGCATACCCTGACTAGTTAATGTTAGGACAACCCTGGATACTGCACACCTGACTAGTTAATGTTGGGACAACACTAGATACTGCACACCCTGACTAGTTAATGTTGGGACAACACTGGATACTGCACACCCTGACTAGTTAATGTTGGGGCAACACTAGATACTGCACACCCTGACTAGTTAATGTTAGGACAACACTGGATACTGCACACCTGACTAGTTAATGTTGGGACAACACTGGATACTGCATACCCTGACTAGTTAATGTTAGGACAACACTGGATACTGCACACCCCGACTAGTTTATGTTTGGACAACACTGGATATGGCACACCCCGACCAGTTAATGTTAGGACAACACTGGATAAGGCACACCCCGACTAGTTAATGTTAGGACAACACTGGATATGGCACACCCCAACTAGTTAATGTTAGGACAACACTGGATATGGCACACCCCGACCAGTTAATGTTAGGACAACACTGGATATGGCACACCCTGACTAGTAAATGTTAGGACAACACTGGATACTGCACACCCTGACTAGTTTATGTTAGGACAACACTGGATACTGCACACCCTGACTAGTTAATGTTAAGACAACACTGGATACTGCACACCCTGACTAGTTAATGTTAGAACAACACTGGATACTGCACAACCCGACTAGTTAATGTTAGGACAACACTGGATATGGCACACCCCGACTAGTTAATGTTAGGACAACACTGGATATGGCACACCCTGACTTGTTGATGTTAGGACAACACTGGATACTGCACACCCTGACTAGTTAATGTGGAATTGATTGTTAGACACGTTTTTACAATTTTCAACTTGGGGAAGAACTCGTTCACTAATAGGAAAATGGAGGTTATTTCATAATTTCCTGTTTAGAATGGGGTTTATCACCGGACCCAGTGGAAAGTTAGAAATTGTGCTGACCTCCCTATAGTCAGGTACCTAACATTGGGCATTTTTGGAGAGAAAATGTAAACATTCAGATATACTGGGGCCTGTTTGTTTATGCGAGAAAACAAAGCATTTTGTACATATTTAAATGTAGGACGTTGGATCTCTGTGCCAGATAATTGTGTTGGTTTTACCAACATTTTTATTCCAATTTTTTCATATTTAACCCTTTCACCACTGTAGACCATAATGGACTCATCCACATTAATGCATGGTAGAGTCTTCTAAAGTTACATAGGGGTGAAAGGGCTAAATGTGATATTTCAGGAACAAAGCCTGACAGACATGCAAATGTTAATGCAGGCCATAAAAGTCTTTGCCAAGACTGGTTAAAAAAGAAACATCAGATTACAAGGTCTGAGCTTATTTCGTAAAAGATTAACTCTGGTCCTAAGCGTCGACCGTCTGGTACCATAACACAAATGTGGCCCAGTATTCACTGCATTGTAAAGTGCCTCACACTAAAAAGTTTGAAGCATTTTGAGTTATTAAAATTTTTGTAAACCGATAATCTACTAGTTCATATTTAACAGGTTGCTAACTTAGCTTTATAGGACAAAAGATTTCCATATAATACTTTTTTTTTTGTGTATTAGTTTTGGGATAATAGGTGGAGGTAGGGTGGTTACTAGGGCAACAAAACAATTTTCACACAAATCACTTTTTTCAGGAAGATGAGACCATTTACTTTAAATGATTCATACAAAAGTTTCACTTCAATACTTCAATAATAATTCTATTTTTTCATTCATTCTAGAAAATATGCTAAATACAAGGACAATATGAAAGAAAAGGCAGGACTGAATAGAAAAAGTGAGTACGGTAGTTTTCAACGTACCCCCGCCCCCACCCACCTTCCCAACTACACTTTTAGATGAAGACATTTTTCCAGTCATGTACTGTATATCAATAAAATAAATAAGTTGGCAACTTTTTCGTACAGTAGTAGGGCAAAGAAAAGAATTTTGTTTTTGTTTATTTTGGCATTACCTGGGTTTCATTATATTGTAATGAAAATTGATTTAACAGATATAGAAGTGTAAAAAAAAAATATAAATCTCTTGTCTGCAAGTATTTTTTTTTTCAATTTCCTTTTTAAACCTCAGATTTGCAGTGTTGGAATTTCCATATTTGGAACATATACTTGTACTGCTGTAGTAATATCTTATTTGCATGTTATAAACCGTTTTTAAAGGCTACATAATTATATTCTTGTCTCTGGACTTGAGCAAGTCTTATATGTCTTGTTCATATGGGTCCTGCTTGATTCATGCTTATCCACCAAGCACCAAAAAGCCAACCAGCTAGGCAGGCATGTTGCTTGTTTGGAATAAATGTATTGTTTACCCTTTCACCCCTATGTAACTTGAGAAGCCTCTACCATGCATTGATATGGATGAGTCCATTATGGTCTACAGTGGTGAAAGGGTTAACCTGTTCACCCCTATGCAACTTGAGTAGACTCTACCATGCATTGATATGGTTGAGTCAATTATGGTCTACAGTGGTGAAAGGGTTAAAGCAGGCTTATAGTCAAGATCCAGTAGACTTGCTCAATTCATCACAGTATATAGACGGGGAGTGATATCCCAGAGACTGGTCTGACTGTGACAGTGGGTCGTATTGAGGTTGATAATCATTATTGGATCAACCAATTAGAATAAGGATAAGAATTACATGTAGCCTCAAAGACCAAAGTTAATGAGAAAGAGAACAACAGGAGCTATAAGGGGTCGCAACATACTTCCTCTCGGTCACCTCTTAGTTTGGTAATGTATCTAATGGCAATTGCCTACGTGGTAGTGCTATCCTGAGCCTTTACATTTCATAATGAAAACTGGGTGGAGATGAGCACTGTGCTTGAGAAAAACAAAGAGCATATCAACATATCTGTTGATACATAATAAGTAATAAACTACAAAGAGTTACTTATAAAGAAAACGGAAATGAGATTTTTCTTTCTAAATTATTGAATTTGTTATATGATTTGTAGAGTTGAGTATTCAACAAAGAGTCAAAGATCATATGTATGTCACTATTATTTGAAATTCAATTTCATTCTCCAAGATAATTTGTTCTTCCCCATTAGCGGAGATATTCAGACTTCTGGTCAGGGAAAGATTATTAGACTCTTTCATCCCGAGGGTGGAATTTCCCTGTCCTACACCCTTGGGCATGAAAAGAGTATTTTTCTCTCATTTCAACTACCAGAATAAGCTCAGAAACCATGAAGATGCGTTTGAACTGGCTACCATTTTGAAAATATTACTTTTGCCACAGAGCATTTTAGACGAAAACGAATCAGTCAGCCAGATTTAGCATACCGCATGTGTGCAAACATTATCACGTCATGTCATGTCAATGTTCAGCTATTATGACATCACGTAAGGTGAAATTGGGTGTAAGATAGAAATTTCCTACACCCCTTTCTTACCCTGGACAGTTCTATCTTACAAACACGGAAATGGGAGATATTACTGTCTTACCCTTTATAAAGAGGGGAATTCCAATTGAACAGGTGGGTGACGTCACTTCATGTCAGCAATAGCAAATCATGGAACCAGGAAGATAACTCTGACTTGCTGGAAATCATAAAATCAATGACTGCATTTCATGAAATTTCCACTTGTATTTGAGATGGGAGAAAAATAATCATTCCCAACTTTAGGAGTAAAACAAAAAATTCTCAACCATGGGGTTAAGATCCTTAAATGTCCGGCCCTTGGGCAAGTCATTTAGGAATCTTACCCTTTTGGTTGAGATGTTTCTGTCCTACCTCAAAGGTAGAGAAAGGTTCTATTAATTATTCACTTATTCAATATATATATATTTCTAGGTAGAAGAACGGGTTCTCTGGATGACGACGACGGTCTTCCAAATACTTACGATTATCAGGATTCTTTTATTGATGACGTACGTTCCTCCGAGGACAGTGAGGAGTCTGAACCGAATCCCGAAGACTCGGATTCAGATTTTGACGCGGACAATTCTGAAGATATCCGTAAACTTGTCAAAGACGCCAAAGGTTTTATCAAAAATAAGAAATTCCAAAAAGTAAAATCCTAATTAATTCAAAACCGAGACGTGTTTTTGAGCAGATTTTTACTTTGTAAACCTACTGGTGTGGTTATAAATCAGATGACTTTTAAGGAAGAATATGTGGACATTTTTTCTCATACCTGTAAATATAATGTTATAAAAAATGAATATCCCATTAAAGACTGTCAATCACTCGGACATATTTGTTTAATTCATACTACGGGCAGTGGTAAGGTATACATTATGAAAGACTGCCATCATTGAAATCAGTATTTTTCAAATTTTTGTTTTTATCACTCCATTTAGAAGATTGAGAGAAAGTAAAGATTTGAATGTGTGCTCATTTGGTGGAAAATTGTACTTTAAAGTGTTAAAAAGCCTTTTGGAATAATCTGAAGGGTTTATTCCAGTTCATAATATCAAAATAAGTGGCGGTTTCCTGATATGTTTGAGGTACTGATAAACCTTGTTATATTGCCAGTATTGGTCCTACATAATTTTGGCATTGTAATCACATGAAGCGAGATATATTAAAAAGGAATTTCCTCATCCCTCAGACATACTGTAACCCTGTTATATATTGCTATTATTTTCCCTGTGGAATTTTATCATTATAAGAATTTGTTGTTATATATACAATAACAGTGTCAGAGGATAAATGAGATGGCAGAGGAAATAATCGGCATTATAAAGAGGTTTTACTGTAGATATGAAAGAGTCTGTCAATTTACTTTTAAAAATATGGGAATGGAGACAACCTGCTAAATGCTAAAATATAATATAGAAAATGAATTGAAATATTTCTCAATGTTTTGGAGTTAATTTTATTCATGCCTTGTTCTAGAATTCATGTCATCACAGTGCAGACAACAGGTCAGCTGTAAATCTTAAGTTCAAGGCTCATTTTTGAAAGCTTGTGGTTTTGTGTAAGGTTTTATTTGTATGGAAAAAAATGTTGATGTGTTGTGTCAGTAAACCTGTAACATTCTCTTTAATATGAATAGTTGCTACGCAAAATGTTTAGCTCCAATGAACATTTAATAACTACAATATGGTAAATGGTTTCTTGATGAGAGGTTCCTCAAATATTATTTTTTACCAATTTATAAAAAAAAAGTCCACTTTTTTTTTTACCAATTTGAGAAATTTATATTGAAATTTGGCAATTGTAAGTCCCATGATCATGATGTCTGTTTAATTAAGTGAAAACTTTCTGGATAGTTTTGTGGATAGTGTTTGGGATTTAATTTTGAGAGTATGAGTATGTTTATTGTGTTCTAGAGGATATCTTTTATCACACATTCTGACACCTTTATATCAATGATATGTGAAAACTGACATCAGAACAGTTTTCTCAAAGGTTGTCTAGTGACAGTGCTATCCCAAAACCCTCACCCAAGGTAGGTCATCAGGTCTAGTGACTGTACAATCCCAAAACCCTTGCCCAAGGCAGGTCATCAGGTCTAGTGACAGTACTATCCCAAAACCCTCGCCCAAAGGTAGGTAATCAGATCTAGTGACAGTACTATCCCAAAACCCTCGCCCAAAGGTAGGTCATAGGTCTAGTGACAGTACTATCCCAAAACCCTCGCCCAAGGTAGGTCATCAGGTCTAGTGACAGTACTATCCCAAAACCTTCGCCCAAGGCAGGTCATCAGGTCTAGTGACAGTACAATCCCAAAACCCTCGCCAAAGGTAGGTCATCAGGTCTAGATAACTGCTCTCACCAATTGTTAAAATGCCTGAAAATTGTTTAAAATTGATTATTAGTGTGATCTGAAAACTTAAAAAAATGGGACAACTAATAAATCTTAAAAACTAATTTACGTGTTGTGGATACATGTCTAAAGGAAAGTGATGGATGTTAACTATTTTGATTACTTTAACAATAATGGAATTTTGAAACTACTTTAAAAACTGAAAGTTTTCAATATTTTTAATGTTTACTATATGTAACAGTAAACTTGACTGGTACAGTTGTCACTGGTTTTCTGTTCTGATGTACATATATATATATTTTTGTTAGTAAATGCAAGTTGACTGGCCATTTTGTGTTCTTGTCTGATCTGAGTATTTGTCAAAGCATGTTGAAACAATTTTGTATTTTTTTCAACATAGATAAAAACAATGGCACGAAGGATCCGAACACAAGCTTGGATCCTTTGCACCGAATACTAATGGTGCAAAGTACCAGCTGATACATGTGTTACAGTTGCGCTCAGAAATGCAAGCTGCTAATGTAAACCTAGGTCTGTTTTCTGACAAACTATGATTTTTATCATAATTTTGAAATACAGAATTGGGCTAGAAAATACCATATAGGGCCTCCTATTTTTCCGTTAAAATGTTTTTAAACTTCTAAACATTGTACATACGTAATCATTAAAATGATATCATAAGAACAATTTTTATGTTATATTCAATAAACATACCCCCCCCCCCATGGCAGCCTTTTTTGCCTCTTGCCGAGGTATCTGTTGTTGTATTGTAAGCTGTGTTTTATATCATTTTGCTTTGATGTTATATCGATAGGAGTTTGAGTCCGAGAACTGAACATGAATATTTGTACTGTCAAACCCCACCACTGCCATATTATAGTTCCTTATCAATCTGAACACCCTGCAGTAAAGCGGGAGTTGAGATGTTGTTCTTCAAGAACTGATAACTAATTAGGAAATTAAAGAGAACTCTCTCCTCACCTTTCCTGGGGTTTTCGTATGGGTGTATATACATTCAGAAATCTATTACAGTTTTAATATTCTAAAATATTTTGTACTTGAGATTTTGTTTCCTTGAATCCAAAATGTTTATAAGATGAACAAGGTCGGTCTATATAGTATATTGTAAGGTTTTTCTAATGATATTTTTTTTCCATTGCTGATTTAATTATACCTTTCCATGTCACTGTGCTTAATATCAGTACGGTAGAAATTTTTCAGATGAAAGGCACAGGCGGGGGTGAACTTGTGTTTCAAGAACCAATCTGTGATGCAAACTCTGAAAGGCTTTGTGTGCAAAAAGATAAGATGGTTATTGTTTCTGCAGATCAGGTTTTATTAGAGGTAACTTTAGGCATTTAACAGCGAGTTTTTTTGGGGAAAAGACCGCAGTTGAGAGCGACTTTTTATGGTTCAGTGACATAGATGATATATAGGTACTTACGCAAATTATTGGCTAATAGATGTGTTATAGTTGCTCTCACAAATTTGCAAGCATTATTATTTTTTGATTCCTCTATCAATAGTTATATAAATCATCATTTTGTACATCTATTGACACTGCTGTTTTAGGTAGTCTGCATCTTTACGATTCCTCGGTGAAAGTACTTATAAATCTATTCAATCTTGGAGTCTGTTCTGATGCTCAAAACTCATTCAGTGTTTGAATTTATTTGCTCGAAATGTGTTCAATTTCCTGAGTTGGTTGTCTCCATTATCTGTCGATCCTGACTTTTATATACGAATTGTTCTTTTGGAAATTTCTTGATTTAATGACAGTTTGGACTTTCTGAAAATCATTTACTGAAATTCAACGACAGGTGAGGTGGGTAGAATGAATGGATGCGACTCTGAAAACAGAGAGCTCGCTATGAGGGAATATTTTCTCCACAGATTGCCAAAGTTGTTCCAGTCTCAATAAAGTTAAATTGAGATCATCAAAGAAAATTGTTCATGTGTATCTTGTATCTCTCTGGTATACCGAAAACAATTTCCAAAAAGACTAAGTAATTTTCAAATTTTCAAATAAAGTTTTCTATTGAAAAAATAAAAAAAATATGAAAAGGATGATAAGTAAGGTAAATATGATTTGAATAGCTGACTCCAAGGGGTTCTTTTTTTTTTGGTATTTAATGTGCATTTATTCAGTTGTACAAAGTACAACGATGTCACTTTCTGAAATACTGATTTGTATGGACAAATGATGAATATTTGTTCTCGTCTTATAATAACTGAATACCAGTTACAATATATGGTCCCCATAGAGAATGTGTTCATCGACATTGGAAATTACACTCCTTGGCAGGTTATCTACAACTACATTTGAACTCTTCCAAATCAATGGTTGGAAAAGTTCATCATGAAACTTCGGGGGTGAATGAGTTGAGATGGGATACACTAATTAGAAGGTCACATGGGTCTGCAGCTGTCATGCAAAAGAGGGGACATTTGTTGTACCCTGTGTGTGTATATATAGTGGGGAGCTAGGCTTCAACAATGCATGGATGTTTATTAAAACATGACAATATTGATTGGCTTTGTTTATTTTTCATGATTCGTTCTCGTCTCACTGACAGAAGCATCCAACTATTATCTACCACCATGCTATATTGTAAGCTTACCTGGTCCGAAGCTTATGTCATATCGTGGCATCCGTCATCCATCCGTCCGTCTGTCCGTTGTCCGTACGTCAACAATTTCTTTAAGCAACTTCTTCTTGATTGGAATTTAACTAAATTTGACTGGGAGCATCCCTAGGTGGTGGGGATTCAAAATTGTACAAATGGTGGGGCTGACCCCCCAGGGGCCAAAAGAGGGCAAATTGTCTATATTGCTTTACATGACTTCTTCTGTTGAACTATGCCCCCCCCCAC